CAATGGTCTACTTTTTTCTGTGGAAACCAAAACCATTTTCGTTTCGCTTATGACTGATTTATTTTGTATGGCTATGTGGTAGTATGGAAATGGCTCAAAGTAGTCCTTCGTCCTGGAAGCGAGTCCTGAATATATGAAAAGCTCAGTTTTGTGTGCCAGCCGACAAGCCGACAATCAAAAGCCGGCCACAAAGACTGGCCACATTATGTGCTCATGGCTCATGGTGGGCCTATGCATATGCCTCGCCGTACAAAAGTTGACTCGAACAAAGGAAGCCCAACTGCGTCAGATCTTTTGTACGGTTTCCCGTGTAATTTATTTGACAGTTTGACAATTTGCAAAAAAAAAAACGAAATACAAAAAATAAGCGCTAAACAGGGAAAGCGCGTGAAAGTGGCCGCGGGCCACAAAAGACTTCAGAGGCGTCGCATCGCAACGGTGGTCGGGAAAAGCTGGGGAAAAGCGGGAAAAACAGTGGCGAACGGGACTCAGTCTCACCTCGGACCACTGCAAGGCGCTAATGTTGAATTAAACGAGCGCTGACAGGGGCATAAACAAAGGCCGCCGGCCCCCAAACGCCTGCCATAAGGTCGACAGGCGGCTCCCAACAAGACCAGGATTTATATGCCTTTTGAATACATATATGTATGTATGCACATATGGTAATACAGCTATGGTCAAGATGTTATAATAAATTTAGTTTTTTAAGATGGAAGATATGAAAAAGGTTATTAAAAACTCATCGTTTTTTCAGGAAAATCACTCATACGACATGTTGGCATGTAGGAGGAGTGTGGCAGGATAATTTTCATAACTTTACAAACGTAATATCTTCACAATCCTATACCATGACTATGCCAAATATCTTTTACAATTACTGCTAATATTTTAACTATGACTGTATGATATGTGTGTGCTTGTACTTGCATATTTATGATAAATTGTCGCTGTATGAAAACGTGTCGCTGACATTTTGGCGCCTCAAAAAAAAAATATGCGAAAAAATTGGACACAAAACGCAGCCAAGCTACAAAGAATGAAAGAAAATAAACAGGAAAATTTTGCACAAGTCAAAGTCAGCATGAATGTTTATATAAAATTTTAATAACCCAGCAAACTGGCATTATTATTGAATTGCCAAATATCGAAACGGAATGACTTTGTAATGCGAAAATGCGACAAAAACGAGAAAAATGAGAATTTTTATGAAGCTGAAAAGCCATTTAATGTCACGTCACAAAAAAAAATAATCCAGCTCTCTTTGGAGTTGATTGGAAAATACTTAAAAAAAATTCTCTAAAAAAATAAAAATAAAGCATAATAGGAATAGGTCGTGGGGACGAAGAGCCGTAAGCTTTATTGTCTTTGGCGATGCCATTTGCACACGCTCTCTCAAATCTCTGGTCGCATTCAACCTGTTTGGTTTTCTTTCGCTATCCGGCCGTACACTAATACGGCGTACTGCTTACGCTATACGGTGAACGGTGTATACGGCAGTCGTGCCTACTTTCCAGGACTCTGCGGCTGGTGAAATGTAGTCGTAAAAGCGCTTTTACGTAATGCGACGATGTCGCTCAGACCGAGATGATAATGGTCCCCCAGGAATTGTCACTGGTACGTGTGTGCACGGCCTTGAAGTGAAATTTACAATTCTCAAAGTTTAAGTTAAAATCTGAGGGATTATGCAAGTAGCTGGCACAACCCAAGCCTCAAAAAAAACACCCCAAGCCTCTAAAGAAACTCTTTTTTATTCTTTTCTTTACAAATTTTCGATTTTTTGTGAGCTTTTTTCATTTTAAATTTATTTTGAACCAAATTGGTTAAGATTAGTGGGGAATCGGAAATAAGTTTGAAGAGTATGAAGGGTATATGCATAATGAAAGGGTATAGTTAAATGTAACACATGACTATAATGGTTATTAAAGCCTTCCTATAAAATTAATCAACTTTTTAAATTGTTGATTGTACTTTACACATTGAATGGACTGACCATTAAGAAGTTAAGTAGTAGCAATATATTTAAAAAAAAAGAAAATCAATTTCAGACAAAAGCCATTGTTAATTGCCATTGAAAGCCTTCAGGACTCTAGGGGCTTGAGCTAAAAGTCTACAAAGCAAATATATTTCCTCAGGTGTTTGCCAAGCCCCGTGCGAGTTCTCGATTCCTTTCGGCCTGTTTGCTCAGGTTGGTCAAATTAATTATACACATCTATTTGGTTAAGTTCCCTTAACTGACGAATGCTCTATTTGAGCATAGTCTTATTTAAGAATGGAGCTATTCAGGGCTCCGGATCGAGTTCTATCTTCCGGGTTGGGTAAATAAACTTAAATGCTATGACTTTTGTTTGGCCAAAAGTGAGGATTTAAGGGGGCAGAGTAGAGGGTAAATGTCTGTGGGGCTTGAATATGGTAGCAGATGCATACAAATACGTATATGTACATATAATCGTGTGTATTTTACTTATGCAAATGCCCCATGCTCACGTCGCAGTGTTCACTTTACTACACTCGACTTTACTCACATGCCACACGGATACACCTGCATTTTGTTGCACCGTTTTAATTAAAGAAGTTCTGTTATTTGTTGTTGTACTTTTGTTGCTTTAGCTGCTTCTGCCACTACAGTCACTGCTTTTTTCATGCTTAATGCCACACGGTGTTCCGGAATATTTCTCGTTGAGTGAGCGTTTTGTATCTTCTTTATACAAACATACATAATCCCATATCCAAACCCCTGCGGTTACTCCCTCGATTATATATGAAGCATAGTTTTAGTTTTTTATTTTGTTTGGAGTTAGTGTGGCTTTTAAATTTCATACAATTATTGCAATTACGATTAAAAATCATTAAAGACAGTAAGTTGTAATATATTATTGTTTAAGATTTATGATAAAAATTAGGAGAGATTTTCTTATTCAACCCAAACTTTATTGAACCAGGTTCGTAGGCAGAAGATACTAAAGGGATGAACTCAAATAAATTTTTCAATTTTGATGAAGGGATCGCGAATCACAGTAAAAATCGTAAGTACAAAACATGGAAAAAATCTAAAAATATTTTTTCTCAGGATTTTGATGAAGAATAGTGGTGAATCAAAGTAGAAATCATTTTAAGGTCACAAAATGGACAAAATCTAAAAATATTTTTCTCATTTTGATGTAGAATGGTGCAAATTTTTAATCGGATCAGGATTGGAGAAGATAGAGCCATCCGCGTGGACCCTATAGGGGAGAACCCCATTTTCAGGGATCCCATCACGAAAAATGGACAAAAAATCTAAAAAATATTTTGTCTCAGGATTTTGATGCAGAATGGTGCAGAATCGATCCAGCAATCGTTTAAGGTGCTCCGCTTGAGAATCGGATCAGGATTGGAGAAGATATAGCCATCCGCGTAGACCCTATAGGGGAGAACCCCATTTTCAGGGATCCCATCACGAAAAATGGACAAAAAATCTAAAAAATATTTTGTCTCAAGTTTTTGATGTAGAATGGTGCAGAATCGATCCAGAAATTGTTTAAGGTACTCTGCTTGAGAATCGGATCAGGATTGGAGAAGATGTAGCCATCCGCGTAGACCCTATAGGGGAGAACCCCATTTTCAGGGATCCCATCACGAAAAATGGACAAAAAATCTAAAAAATATTTTGTCTCAAGTTTTTGATGTAGAATGGTGCAGAATCGATCCAGAAATTGTTTAAGGAACTCTGCTTGAGAATCGGATCAGGATTGGAGAAGATAGAGCCATCCCTCTGGACCCTATAAGGGGTAAATAAGCTTTTAAGTAAGTTTCCTTATTATAATCCGAATAATTCAATTTATTAACCTTTATTTTATAAAACCTTATAAATTCCTTCTTCAGTAGGAACAACCTCCATTTTTACTACGGATTTACTGAAAATATGTCGGCTTTTCTTTTTCCCTCGGTTACACCCTTTTACTGTCGGATTCAGATAATCCGGCGACTGGGTCTCCTTTGTTTATTTATCATTCCGTCAATTACTTTTAACGTTCGGCATCTCAACTGCTTTCCAATTAAGAGTAACGCAGTGCTGGCAAAACAGAAAATAAAAATAATATAAAAATAATGGAAAGAATTTTTCTTTTGGGGGGGGGGCTGGTCAACACACTCGAGTACCGGGAGGGCTCCAATGCCCACATGTCGTTGGCATCGCCAGGGACACTCCAGGACCGCTTATGCAAATGGATTTTAAGCCAAGAGCGAAGGTCACTGCGTCCTTTGCGGTTGTTAAATGCATGCTTGGGATGGTATCTGGCGGATACCATTACCCTCTCACCCCGCCGAGCCAGTAGTCTCCAGAAACTCATTAACGGCAGTGTTGCCTTTTAAGTCGGCACTTGGCTTGCTGCCCCTGTTGCTGTCCCTCTTAATGCCAAGACACAAGAAGTCGCAATAATTAAGCGAAGACATTTGCGACAGGAACACGTTAAGGAAATGCCATTTTTTTATTCTCGGCCAGAAAGGTTCCTGGGGGGGTTAACTTAATCCGTTAAGCGACTAGTTCGTCAACTTCGTTACCCTCTTAGTTGAGGGTATTTCAGGTTCGTTTTTATTTTTATCCACTGTTGAGCTTCTACTTCTCTTTTTCCCTTTTTTCGCATTTAAGATTTTTACGGCATTACGTAGCCCCACGCTAGTTTCAATTTCCTTTCTCGGATAAAAATGTACATTTGGAAAAATAGTGTATTACTGTATAAAACTTAATAATTTGTTACAACGAAAACTCCATTAACAAAAAAGCGCATACTCTTTTCAAGATATTATTATGCATTTAATTCCGGGCCAATATAGAAATAAACATTCTTTACTACATTTGTTTTTTTTTTTAGTGCTTAGACAGTAGAGAAAGCCGCTTAAGAACAACTCGAGACTTTTTAATAATTTACGGCGACCGAGGCGCGAATCAAAGAACATTTGGAGTGGCCCTCTTCGCAGCCGAGAGGCAGGTGTATAAATAGAGATAGAAATAAAAATAAGCATTAGCTGCACCAAAGGCGACTACTATATATATTTTCCATTAAAGTTTATGTAAATCCCACAAATGTTTCCATGGCAAAAACAGTTTACACAATCTGAGGGAAGAAGATGTTCTAGGCAGCCGTTTGAGTTTTAATGAGTCGATAGCCTGACTTCTGGCATTGTTTTTCCGCTTTTCTGTTTCTGAATCCATCGATGGACCACTTGCCACCACCCAGCACCGAGAGCATCAAAAATGCGCCAACTTTTGATAACACAGCCAAGAAATATTCCATCGAAAGAAACCAATCGTCCCAGCCAGAAATGAAGCTAGATTGGTTGCTATAAATGTCATGATAGAGTATGGCACAGATTGTGAGAATTGAAAACAGCTCCGTGCTTAAGCCAAAAAATAAGGGAAACAAAAGTGACCAGATAATTATGACAAAAATTATCTAAAAAAAAAAATTTTTTTTAAATAAAAATTTGGTAAAACCATTATACTTACACTCGTCGATGTCTCATCTTGCCAAATTACAAACATGGAGCAAATGCAAAGTCTTCCGAGCAACAACAATAGTTGATATGGCAAACTGTCGATTTTAATCAAATCCTGTCTCTTCTTTTCCTTAACTTTTACAGCCAGAAGTAATAAGAGGCAGCCCACATCGAAAGAATCGTCGAGCAGGAAGTAGAAAAACATAGTCCAGAGGGTGAACAAGATGCGATGGATCACCCTACCGACGAGCAGGATAGATACTCCACTTTCCTGTGCTCTGGTGTAGACAATGAGAGCGATAGCTACGATATTAAGAAGGATATCAAAGCTGGTGTATATATAACTAAAGGCAATATGAGAATCCAGGACAACGGCTCTGGTCTTGCCAACGTGCTCCATATTAACCAGGGTGTATATGACCTCCAAGAAGTAAGAGGCTAACACAAAGAATGGACATATTCTCATGATTAAGTGCCTGCCTATGTGCTTCAAATTATCCATATTTGAGGGCTTCGTAAGTATTCTATACTGCTTCAACGGACTTTCTGATATATACTGATTATAAGACAGAGTTGACAGTATAATACAAATTGATGAGAAACTCAAGGCCTTCTGTACATTTTAAAATATCTTAAAGGGTATGCCGTTGAGTAATGATTGAACACTACTAAGTAAACGTGTGCAAAGGACTTCTTAAACTATTCAACATTATACGCAAGCATCTTCAGGCATAATCCCCTCTTCAATTAGTTCATAATCGAGCCGTGGGCTTTGTAATATACATAATGGCTGTGGCCTGGACCCACTGGGAGTCCTTATAATGCGATGAGACAGTTCCTTACAAATCAATCCCGTGTCTAATTGTCTCTAATTGTTGTCGATGCCTTGGGGCAGGTCGCAGCTGGAACATTAGCCAATTACCCCCAAGGTAGGCGATGGCTTAGCTTTTCACCAGTCATCAAATGAATTCAAAATTTCCTGTACTTCGCCGAGAATCGAGGGGCCGGAGTTTCGTTACATATTCCCGATGCACCCGCTTGTGGTGCTGTCCGGTTCTTCACATCCCGAGTTAGCTGACTTGGTGGCCCAGGGCCTGGGTATCGGAGTGAGCAGGACTCTGCTTTCCAAGTTCGCCAATGGGGAGACCAGGGTCCATTTAATGGACTCTGTTCGGAATGCTGATGTCTATATCATCCAGACCAGTACCGAGCCCGTCAACGACATGCTCATGGAGCTGATGATAATGGTGCAGGCATGTCGTTATGCAGCGGTCCACAAGATCACGGTCGTGATGCCATTGTTCTTCTACTCCCGGCAAGATCGTTTGGACTCTGGCGATCAACCAATTACGGCCAAATTGGTGGCCAACATGTTGGAGATGGCCGGAGTGAATCAGGTGATCAGTCTTCAGTTGCACGCACCTCAAATCCAGGGCTTCTTCGATATTCCCTGTGCGAATCTTTCCATGGATGGGATCTTTGCGGCTTGGATAGCGAAAAACATCCCCAACTACCAGGACATGGTCATAGTAACCCCGGATCTGGGAGAAATCAGACTGGCCGCGGACATAGGTCGTGTACTGGGCAATCAGGTGGCCATGTTTCGAAAACATAGACGCACAGCTGGTGAAATCTCAGACATGGTGTTGGTGGGTGATGTCCGTGGGAAATCGGCCGTAATCGTGGATGACATGGTCGATACGGGTGGGACTTTGTGCCATGCCGCCCAACAATTGAAGAGGAACGGAGCCTTGAGAATCTATGCCATTGTGACCCATGGCATTTTCTCGGGCAATGCCATAGAAAAATTCAGTGATTCTCTTTTCGATCTTGTCGTTTGCACCAATACGGTTCCCCAATCCTCTGATCTGACCACCAATCCAAAGTTTCGTGTCATTAATATCGCAGATATGATTTCCCAATTTATACTTAAAATGAAGGCCAATCAGGACACGGTTAATCAGAAACATTCGCAACACTGCTAGGGTTTATGACCTTCATAAATTATTCCATCAAAGAATTGCCTTTAATTCTCAAGAAAATCATTTCACGTGAATACATATAAATCTTTTGACTTAATCTTCGCATTTAATAGAGTGTTTAAATTTACTCTTTGCTCCTTGATAGACACCTCATCTTGGCAACCAAGATGGTCCGAGGTCGGGAAAGTAAAAGGGATCCGTTTTGATGCCAATGACTGTCAACAACTTTTGACATTTTGCAATTTATCTGCTTACACAGCAGAAATTAATGCCACAAGTGGAAAACATTGAAGCTGGCTCAAGGTAATGAGCAGATAGACAGAAGCCGGGGCGGAATCAAAAAGCATCAGGGCAGAAAGGACCAGGGTAGAAAGGACCAGGGCAGAAAAGGGGAAAAGAAATTGAGTCCTTGTTGTTTCAGCGCCATTTTATCCCCATTTTTTTCTGAATTGAAGGTTCGAAGAAAGGTATTTACTAGAAATCGCCTGGGGTCCTGCAAAATAAAATAGGCATTGTCCAGTGGCATGGAAGCAAACAACTACACAATTCTTATGGACAATGAATTCCCATCAATATTGGCCATGATGGAAAAACAGAAACTGTCCAAGTACATGTAAACAAGATTATAACCCTAAAATCTGACCTAGAAACTATTTATTATTTCGATGTGGGAACTTGAGATCATGAAGAAACCATATCCTAGAAAGCCCCGAGGAGATGACGTTGAAAATAATGACAATAGCATTGGCCTTGGTTGTTGGTCCTTTAAGACTTGCTTGGATTTGTGTTGTTTACCGCCTCGGAGTCTTCGAAGTAAATGAGCTGCGGCAAAAGTTGGTTCCCATGCCTGCGGAAAGTTTATTAATTGAGCCTATTAGTTGTTTTCTCCTTGTTATGGTAAATGGGAAAGGACGTGACGAACATTTTCCCAAGCAATTTAAAACAAGCCAGCGACATAAATAACGATTTTATAGAAGATACTTTCCTTACTCCTTCGCCAGCGCACTGTAGGAATATAATTTAATAATAACATAAAATGATGGCTGTATAGGCAATAAAGCTTAATTAAATATTAATCACAACATAATTTGTTAATTTCCTTTAATTTTTTTACCATTTTGTTTCCAGTATAAAATCAACCATTAAAAGTAGGAAGTGACCATTGAAGATGGCTCCCCTTGAAAGAGCATACCAAATGGCGGTTTTGTGGTATTTGCCGAAACATTTTCCTGGGCAATCAAATCAAAAACAGGACCTGGGGGGCGTGAGAAAACTGAAGGATAAATCGGAGGATACTCGACTGAAAACGAAGACGATGGAAGTTTGGAAGATGGAAGGAAGTTGAAGGGACACAGTTCGTTGAGTTTGTTACAAATAATTTAAATCTATGTCAACATTTGGAACGCAACGCGATAATAATTCATTTTTGCCTTTTGCCGCCGCTTCGTGACAGCTAATCACTAGACAGAGACAGACCTAGAAAGTGAGATAGTCGTCAGTCGTCACAGACGACAATCAGACGGACAGACAGACGGACGGAAAGGCAAATAAAAACGGACAGAGACAACCATTTTGAAAAATGGCGTCATGGCTGCCCGATTTCCGCTGGCAAATGAATTTTCCTTTTCATGCTGCTTTGTGTGCTAATTTTACGGGCAATTTTTTTCCCAATTCGTCGTCTAAATTAAAAACAAAATAAAACCATAGTCAAAAATGAGGCTTTTATCTCAATGAACATAAATTTAATATTATTTTCCATCCGCCACCCTGTTACCCCTGAATGCGCGACACTATCAATGATGAGATTTGTTTATTTTGTTCGATAAAATCGCTTTAATTTCATTAGTTTCCTTTATTATTATTCTTTTTTGTTGGATATCACGTATTGTCAGAGCTATTTGCATACAAATTTGTATGTCCTACATTGTCAGGCATTCATTTTTATCAGAGTTCACTTTCAGTATTGTGGTCCATATAATAAATTCCAAAAACTATAATCGTTTTGTTAAATCAATTGCTAATTTGTGATTTAAAAGAGGCGATTATTTGTGTTGTGATTATTTGTGTTATGATTATAATCCTTATTAATTAAATTTTATTTAAACAAGCCTATCAAGTGATTTGATATATGTACATATTAAGAGAGATTTATAAATTTTCTCATTTAAGTTTTTGTTAGTGTCAGAGTCACTGCCCTTTTTTCATGTTGGTTTCTGAACAGGACAATGGTCTACATAGGTTTCTCTGAACCTTCGGGGACTGTCCATTAAGAAAACAATAATCGACCAGTCAATGTACACAAAAACTAGAAAATGTTCCATCACAAAAAAAAAATATTTTCCTGAAGTTATGAATGAAAAAGAGTTTCGCCGCAGGTGAATAATCCATCATCAGATTGTGACATATATTTTTTCTTGCTTCTTTTCAAATTGTTTCAATTTGTATGGTATGATTTTTTTACAAGACAATGGATCAAAAAATGTGTGGTAGCTTTTTAGTTTCCGTCAACATTTCAAAAATCAGAAACAGATAAAGAATTAACTGACAGCTCATCAAAAAATATTTTTATCAAATTTTAATTCTGAAATAATAGTTTAAAAAAATAAAAAGAAAGGAAAGATGCGGAGTCTTAGTTTATAAACCCATGCAGTTGAGAGGCAGTTTATGTTTAAAGATATAAATATATATAAATCTAAAACGTTTCCAGTTTAAATCCTAGACAATTTTTTTCCATTGCTCATTTGTACGTGAAACCTTTGCAGATGTCAAAAAGGATAATGAGCCTAGATTTGGGAATGAGGAATAAGGAAATGCCTGGAGCCTTGACGTTCACCAGCGTGGAAAATCAGCTTAAGGCGTGCATGATATTTGAATATATATACATATATTTACCTTTCCTTGATACAATTTACAATGGCGAAAAAAATAGAAGAGAGTCAGCAATTGAATATTTGGTGACTAAGTAAAATAAGAAGTTCAAGGAATTTGTGGAACCAAATTGAAATGTGAAAGTGGAAGTTAAGGATATGTATTTTATTGGCAATGCCTTATAATCTTTTGCAAATAAATAAAATCATAAATAAACATTTTACATAGCCGGTCGTTAACCTGTGCTGAATCAATTAAATGGGCAATTTTGAAATGTCCTGAATGATATGAATATTCATGGTCCAAGTGACTTTAATAATTGAATAGGTTGAATATATACGCATGAATATCCCGAGGCCAGGTCCACCAATAGCTAATGTAGTCGCCAGCCAGACAGTCGACCAGGAAAATATTCAACCGGAAAGAGTTGGCAAGTGCGAGAGAAACACGCCCGTTGTCCATGTCTAAATTAACAAATGAATAATTTAGTGCCGACACTTGTGTGGGCAATGTTTGGATTAGAGCAATGTGAATTAGGTGCGAATGGTCATCCGGGACTCAGGAGTCTGACTAAACTGAACTGACTAGAACTGACTAAATGGTCCTTGAAAGCGACTAGGCAGAACTTTAATTTAAGTACCTATTTTTTTGGTTATTCTAATTTCAATACAAAGATTAAGTTTTTAATTAACACTACAATTTTATTTGACTTTTACACTACACAAGAAAAAAACAGCCAAGCTACAGTTTTATTTCTTTAGAACAGACGACTGAAGGATACAGGTCGTGCCAAAAACCGCCAAAAATGTAACAATGCTTGGAACTATTCCACCAATGAGCTAAAAAAAGAAATATTTTTCAATTTAATTCCCAATTATTAATAAAATACTTACAAATAGGTAGGGTCTGACGTTTCCCCAACCACTAACAATCGTATTTGCTGGCGAACTCGTTGGCAATAAAAAAGAATTGTTCAACGAGGTGGCAAATGGTAGCGCGAATGTATGGCCCTGATGAAGAGATAATTTAAAATTAATTCATAGATAATTTTTTAAGATATTTATCCTATAAACTCACTGCTTTAAGGACAATTGGAAGGGCAAATTGAGCAACAGTCGTTCCCGGGCCTAGACTCGTCAGCAAGGTTCCGTACAAGGCGCCATAGAGAGAGTGCAGAAAAGGACCTCCTTTGTCTGTCTTTAAGGCTGTGACCACGGTGGCATAGTATGTGCTGGGGACACCACAGACGATGCCACTCACCGCGCCCCCCAGCATGAAGATGTCCGCCCAGGGGCAGTTAGTGTTCACCGACTTCCAGCCGACCAGCGACGGTGCAGTTCCCGATTTCTCTGGCTCCCGGCAGATATAATATCGGCAAAATAGAAAATTCGCTGCGACTGCAAAGAAAAGAATTGCAACAAATACAGCTGGTACGGAGAGGCCACATCCGACGCCTCCTATCCATTTATCCCAGCCATTCCATAAATTCGGTTGACGACTGCCCACCAGAATAAACAAAAACAGGATGAGGCCATAGGTAAGTTTGGCATGTGAATTCCAGCTTCCGAGAGCAGCTTTTTTCTCGACAAGTGCCTGGTTGAAGGCCGGCCTGTTGGCAGACCCCTCCTGAAGTTCCGCCTTCACTTTACCGCCCAGCATTCCGAAGAAGATACATTGGATCCAGACAATCATAGCTATCACTCCTATTAATGCAGGCCCCGCTGTAATCATCACCAAACCGATAATATCCAGCCTATTCGAGAAGGATGAAGAGGAAGTCTTTTTTTTAGGAATAATTTGATTTTTACCCTTTATAGTTGTCTGCAGTGACACCATTGGGATTCACGAAAGGCGACATCATACCACCCAATGCGGCAGCATAGCCGCATGATAAAAACACCCCAACGGCAGGGAGTGTAGGATAGGGTTTGCTGTGCCAAGAAACATAAAAATATAATAATAAATAGAAACATGTTCAAGACTACAAGTAAACGTATGTATTTAAAAACTCACGCTCCAACTTCATACGGTTTTTCTTCGGAATAGAGTTTGATAACTCCTCCCTAAATAGTTAGTATATTAAAGATCAGTTTAGGAACTATATTTTTACAAAATTTATAATATTTAAATAATTACTTTATCCAATTCCACCAACGCAGCTTGAGCCACTTTCATCCCAAAGGCTGCGGCCAATGTGGGATTTACCATAGCGGAAGTGAACAACACAAAGATTGTTAAAAATATCTGTATCCTATACATATATTTGATTTAAATCCAATGGTTTAATCCTCAAATGTTCTTACCTTTTTATACTGCCAGAGCAAAGTTTTAGCATATCTATGGCAAGGCGATCGCTAACCTTAGAAGTATCCATCGCACAGCCCATAATAACGCAAGCGTATACTAGAAATATTAGATCGCCATAATAGGTAATACTGAGTGGCTTTGAAGATTCGATTCCACATATTGGTATTAGGGTAATATATATAAATGCAGATGCTCCTCTTGCAATTACATTTAAAATGTAATACAAATAGAAGCAGAAGGTCAAATACAGAAACCGAAAAACCTATTAAAAGTTTATCAGAAATCCAATAGTAGAAGCAATTTTGTAGAATCTTACCAGAATCGGTTGGGCCAGAAACATGGGAGCAAGTACTAGGGGTATTAGTATCACTAGCACGCCTTTGTAGTGATATTTGCAGAATAACTTTCGATTATCTTGCTCTTCTAGTGGAACGGTTCCTGGTTTATAGTCTTCCCTATTTTTAAAATTACCAGTTACCAGAATATTTTTTAGTATTAGTTTTTACTTACGCCATTTTTTAGTAGTATTTAATAAGAAAGTCGAACAAATTGTGTAGATTTGGTTATAGTTTAATTTTATATCTGAGGTATAACAACTGCCTACTTATTGGTTTTTAAAATTGATAAATATCAGTGGAAATGTTTATTGATAAAGTTTTTTTTCTGAGCTACCTGTATTGTAGGTCAAGATTTGTTAGCCCTCTAAAGGCGAATAGTTGCAGCGAATTTGGCCAATAAAAAGTTTCATCAGAGCGGTAAAAGTGGCAAGATAGAACTACTGACTGCACTGCATTGTTGGCGGATTCCAGTGGTAGTGGTGGGACCAAGTGCAGTGGCGTTCAGTGTGGCTTAGCCAGGGCCAGGGCCGTTGGAAATCCAGGGGCAGTGGCAGGAGCAGGAGTAGCTGCAACTTTGTGCAACCACGTGGCGCGTAACAATGCGCAGTCGACGGCAATTTTGCGTAACTATTCTGTGTTTCGCTTCGTTAGTCCTGGAATCAGTAGAGGGATTCTCGTTCGATGTCCTGAAATCTAGATGAGAGCTTCAAAAAGTTTGTCAGTTGACCAAAAACCATTTCATGCCAAATAATTTTCAAAATAACCTTTTTTTTACGCAATAGTACATATTTTTTAATCACTATTGGAAACAATATTTAAATTTCAGCTTTCAGTCATATTTTAGCCAATTTTGAAGCTATTTCGAATCGCATTAAAATGAATACTATTCAGGAATCAGGGTTTAAACTGCCTCCAATATAAATTAAAATAACAGAAAAAACTTTGCTAAAAAACCAGCTTTTGATGTAGACTTTTAATACTCAAAAATCCAACACTGAGAAGGTATATCATTTTACGATCTGCCAAATGATTACCAAGATATGGGTAGTTCCCCGAAATTAATCACCTGGTTAAGGTCATGTTTATTTAAGCTTTGCAACTTAGCTAGTTATAGCTAGAATATAATATTGAGTTTTAAATTATTAAAAAGTTAACTATAAACTTAAAGAGAGTAAAGGACTAACTGATGAGCTTTGACATGATGTACACAAAGCCCTGTCAAAAGACTATGTTCCCCAATTGTCCCATTGACACCTGAAGTTCCCAGGAATTTTAGTAGCGATGGCAACCCGTTAGGGGGGGCCTCCAGGGCCAACTGGTCGAGTGGCCAACAAAGGCCAAGCTGTAGGGCGGAAGTTGATTGACTGCTCACTTTGGATATTCCTTTTTTTCCATAAGGAAGGTTGATAAACAAAAATGGCAGCCGACGCTATTTTGGCTTTATCCGTCGGCCATTGTTGTTATTTGCCCGAGGCGAACTGACAAGCCAGCATGACGTGAATATATATATAGATATTTATATAAGGAACCGTTTCTTGATTAGGGTTAACACATGAGTATATGATGGATGCTTGAGTTTTATGGCCAAGAACCTGAAATCAAGTCAAAAATCATGAACATGTGTACCGGTTTCCATCCATTTTGTTTTACATTTTCTTTAGTAAAGTCCTTTATATAAGCTAATAAACTTATACACAAGAAAGTGATCCTAACTTAAAGTTTCATTGTTCTTAAACATATCAGCTTTAGGCCACCTTTCGACAGCGTCTGCCTATGAATCTCCAACCCGGCCAACAACGGGGCTCGGTCTCTATCAACAGTTCACTCATCACGTCCGTTTGATGGTTTAAGATTTCACCGCAACTCGTGTGCCGAAGAGGTATTTGCAGTTGCTGCTGGAAATTCTGTTCCTGAAGGCTTCGGCAATAGGCCAACTTGTCCGGCTGCTCCTGAAACTCCAGTTCTATTTGGGCCAACCAGTTAATGGTTTGTGTGTCCTGCTGCTGTTGCATCAGGACCAGTGGCAGGACGAGCACAAGGCCAAGAGCTGTGGACGCTGGTGTATGCATGGTGGCGGCCAAGAGTGAACTAATTGAGAATTTCATAGCCAACCGCAGTTGTTCGCCTCTTGAATCCCAGCCAGCTGTTAATGAATATTCACATCCATCGATTGATTGCTCATAGCCATTAATTAGAGCCATTCAGGCCATTTCAAGTTGACCACTTAAAATTTCTTTTGCATTCATTTTCTATTTAATCAAATGTTTTAAAGCCACAAGTAACTTTTACAGTTGTGGCTTTGTTTTTACCATTTATTTAATCAAATACTTTAAATACCTTAAAAACTCTTTAGATTTTTTATAAATGAGGTCCAGCTGCCAATTTATTAATTTCAAGCTACCAAAAAATAGTCATAAATCTTAACCACAAATGTATTTTATGTTGAAATTATTTTTCCAATAATGCCAAAGGTTAAAAGTTATATATTTTATAAAATATTATTCATTTTATACTCTGACACATTTCTGAAAGTAATTACTATTTTCATATATTGCCACAACCTGAAATCGGGCTTTAAGACCATTCTGCAATTTTAACTGCGTTGCACTTTCATTTCTGGTAACGTTTTCGTTTGTTTTTTTTAGACCTTTTCAATTGCTTGTTAGCCAGTTTTTTTCTTTGTTCTCCCCCTTTCATTATCGCAATCTCCATTTTCCTTTATTTTTCCCTCTTTTTTTATATTTTGGCCATCGTCATTCTTCTGGCTGAAATTGCATTTGGCGAAATGAATGGCCAGGTCCTTTGCACTTTTCCGCCAACATCGACCCCGAAATGACACATGCAATCGAGTGTAAATTTCACAGTTTTATTATTTAATAACATGGCTGAGGAAGTAACTTTCAGGTACTATCTATATAGGTGGATGAACAGTCATATTTACACGCCCATTTCCCGTCATTTTTTACGCCCTTTTCTTTGTCTGGATGAATATATAAACGAATTGAGTGTAAAAAGTGCAACATAAAATTGGACAACAACAATTGCTACGGCAAGCCATATAAAATTAATAAAAAATAATAGACAACTATAGACTTGAGAGTTTAACACTCTTCAAAAAAAAAAGACAGACTACTATTGAAAGGCTTCTGGTAGTCAGCACTTACGCTATAATTCCCAGCATGAAAATCATTCCAAAGTACGGCAAAGGATTAAGGTAACTTTTTACAAAGGCCAATGTAGTGGATTTCACAGGTCCTTTTTATAAACCATTTGTAGCTTAGCGAAAGTCTGACAGTCGTAGAAGGTGAAGTGGCGGTTGTGGCACTGGAAAGCGTACTTAAGCGTTTAAGTAAATTTTAAAACTTGTTAAGCTCCATAATGAAGCAATTTCCAGCATTCTGAAGCACTAACAGACACTCGGCTGCCTCGAGTTGTATATATATGTATACATTTATCCTTTAAAGAATGATTTTCGTAACTTTTATTAATTAGCTGAGGCATTAAATCAAATGGCAGCAGGCCAACGAGCTTAACCTCTAAGATGATTTCGCCCTTCGAAGTGGCTCTGGCTCTAGCTCTAGCTCTGGCTCTGGCTAATGATGTTTGCTGTTTAACATGGGTGGGTTTTGGTAATGGGCCCGAACCATGTGCCGAACATTGATCCATCCTCTGCCATGCCATGCCTGCTCGAATGCCCTGGCCTTTACCAAAAACAACTCCATTAAGGCCAAAACAGACACAAAGGGCTGTGAAAGCCAAAAAGAGCCAGCCCACCTGCTGGCACTTGTTTTGTTTCGTTGATGTGGGCCACTTCTGAAATTAAAAAATTCTCAACATAAAAATTCAATTATGCTTGGCACTTCTGTCACTGAAGCTCCCAGAGGGCCTTTGCCGGTTTTTAATTTTTTGTACAAACCAAAACCGTAGATATGGTAGAGCGTAGATGAAATATGCAATTTTTTAACCAAAAAATTGGAAAGAATTAATTTTAATAAATAATTAAAAAAACATGAAGACCTATCGTGGGTTTTTACATCTTCTTATATGAGAAAATGAACATAGTTCGAACCTATTCCTAAAGTATAGAAAATAAAGTATAGAAATGCTTAAAATTCCAACCTCTTAAAGCTAAAACTCCTACAAAATCATAGAATAATTACGTCCCCCACTTGCAAATAAACGGCGTTGTGGCATAATTACTGCCAGCAAATTACTGCAATTATGTACCGGGAAGAATAAGCTGCAACTCAATGGAAATAAAGGCTAAAACTCTGCCCTTTGCCCTGGCTGGGATGCATATGTCTAATGCCTCATAAATCTTCATTCATTCGCTTCATCGTTCAGAGAAGCCACGAGGCGACAATGTGCGCGTCATCAGCATCAGAGCGCCACAACAGTACCAGTCATAGTCATAGTGATAGTCATACTCAATGTCGACTTATCCGCATCTTGCTGAGCATTTGTTTCTCTTTCGCCTTTTGTGTCCTGTGGATGTCCTGGGCCCTGGATGCATCATTTATCATTTGGCTCCCTTTTTAGTTGTCATATTCTGAAAGTGCAGCTGGCTGCACTTTGTGGGACTGGAGGATGATTTTTCACTTCGACAGAATAGTTCGCCTGACAGTCAATCGCCTCGAATGAATGGCACACCATATTCCGATAGTTGTTATCATCAGGCATTAAAGCCCCACACAGTCTGTGCAATTTGTGCACCCGCACGCACATATTCACACAGAAATTCCCAAAAAAAACACAAGCAAGCCACATGTGGGGGTGCAAGGAAATTTTAATTTCCGCCGGAAATAATATCATTTAAAATTTTAACTTTTCAGCCCCCAACTCCATGGGGCATAATAATGAAAAGGAAATTAGCTTGAAAATACAACAGACGCATAATGAGAGCCCATTGTTCAACAAAAATATGTCAACAAGAAGCATATTTCCGAATTGCATACTTTCCTCGAACATTCGTTTACTTAATAACGAGCTTACTCTTAATTCATGGAAATAATTACTTTGACCTCAGGATTGTGCAAAAAATAAATTGAAGTCCCCCAATTGCAGGAACTAAAAGTAGAGCACTAGAAGGCAATTTTTAGGCAAGTGGCTATTGCGTACTATATGTTTTATTTAAGTGAATATTAAATGGCCTCAAATTGACCAACCCACTTAAGAGCTCAGCACATTTGGCTCTGTTTGGTGAAACATATTTAATTTTTGGACATTTTGGACCCCGGGTTTCGTTTTAACAAATTTATTTACCAAGGTGCGTGGCCTAACACGCCCACAACCTGGCAAATATAGACAGGACATGCCGAAATGCAAACATGTTGGAAAATAAGTACATTTAGAGTATATATTCTACACCCATATATATGCATATAGATTTATGTATTTGCGCATACATGGATGCTGGGGACAAGCCATAATAAATAGGTAAACAAAAATAGAAAACATCAAAGGATTCTTTGCTGGGGAATATTCAACTAAAAAATACCCATTAAATACAAGTGGTTTTCAGGATAAAATTAAATATTATATTGACTTTATTTCTCATTTAATTTTCTTTTTAAATGCCATTTTATATTACTTTTTTTCCAAGGGGGGAATTTTAGAAAAAAACCCCAATTCTACCCCCAATCTAGAACCCATTACCATGAAGACTACAAATTATTTTAGGGTTCCTGGAATGGCTCGTTCTATGGAAAATTTGGGTTAAACTCGTACATATGTAAGTGAGAGCCGTTGATGTGTTTACCCTTTTTAGCATGACTTGCTCTTTTGCAGTGGCTGAACGTGTAAATTTATAATTAAACGCCAACACTTTTTTTTTTTTAATTTTCTCCCAGAACGAGTCCTGGAAGGTCCAGGAAACTTGAACTTTGAACATGGCCAGAGAACAGAACTCTAACAGCTGCCTGCTGTTTCCGCCTTCGTTTTCAATTTTCGTTTACATTGTGTGTATTGTTGTGTGTCCCTTTTTGCTTTGAAATCTTTCGTGTAAGCACTTAATTAGTGGTAAAAGTTAAACAGAAGCCGAGCAAAAAACCTACCTCACACAAAGGGCCAGAACAAGAACAATAACCGGGTTGTTTCCTGGTCCGGACTCCGGACTCGACGTATCCCATTCCCGCAAAAATGGGATGAATTTATTTCATTGGACGCAGATTAGATTAAATCGTACAAGCTTTTGCATTTCCGCTTCGTCAAGGCGGGGGTCACAACCTGGAAGGACCAGGTCCTGGCACCAGGACCAGAAACAGGACCAGAACTTTACCAAATGTGCGGTTTTCCCTTGGCAAGTGCCAACGTCAGTGGTTTTGGCCATTTATTTATGCGATAGTTTGGGGGGCCAGCAGGCAGTTAGTTTGGAAAGACGCCTCTCCATGGAGGTCAGCAAACATTATTGTTAATAGATGGCACTTTTTTGGCATGTAATTTATTTTTATCAAGTTAATAATGCTTTTTAATAAGTGCCTTGTTATGCGAAATTTCCAGATATACACTTTTGGGTTACTTTTATGGCTCATATGCATGCTTAGGGAGATGGCCAACTTTTGAACAGTGGATGAATTAGTTATTATTAGAATGTAAGTGGAAATAGTTATCTTAAACATAGTACTTAAGATACTTAAGATTTTTGGAGGAGGTTTTCCTATACTTAGTAATTAGTTTTGAGTGCTAATGAAGGGTCTTTTTCATATTCATTTAAATGAAATTTTAAGCTTCTAAGAAACCTTTTAGAAAACTAATTAAATATCTTCCTAGCTCCACTGTACTTGGCAATTTCAACTTAACTGGGTCTCACACAATGTAATGATTTGTATCTCAGAGCCATTTGCACGCATGCAGCACTAGTTGGAAGCCAAAGGAAGAATATTCCTGTGGCACGCTCCGTTGCACAAATAAAATTATATATATAGCTAAAGTATATATAAAAAGTGACTTACAACTCCCGTTCCGCCGTCTATTTGCTTGCGGTGTTTAATTAACTTTGGCAGTGTAATTGCTCAGAGAACTTTAAAACGATAAAACTTTTTATGAGCTGCCATTTTGGCCCGTTTGACTTTTGTCTGCCGAAAATTATAATATGAAAATTTAGTTTTTCATCCAACAACGAAAACAATTAATGTTGAGAAACGCCCGCACATAAAGCCAGGACAATTTTGGAACTCCCTACTTCGCTGCCCCCACCCAAGGCAACATTTCTGTGAAATTTCGAATTGCATAAATGTTTGTCTTTGATGACAGCCGGACGAAACAAGAACGACAGGCCAGGAGAGCCAGCCAGAAGAGGAAACCAGGAGCAAGGACCACCGAGTCTGGCAGACAGGTGACGAGTTGATTTTTTCATCGTCTACTGTCCCTGCGGTGATTTCTTTTCTCGTAAATAACAATGGCAACGCAAAAAAATAAAATAAAATGAAAATCCAGCGGAAAACTTTTTGACTTGCCGTTGCCGTGCTAATGGTTCAATTTATCTAGCCCGGTGGTACTGGCTCCAAACAGTTTACAAAATATGACAACGAAGTCATAACAAGAATTCCAGTTGTCGAGGAAACTATTTTCAGATTTTAATTGCAGTGGCTCATGGACTTGTCCATGCTAAATTAACTGCAAACTTCATTTGCCTTTTGTTTTAAATGCTCTCCTAAAATGACTTTTACAAACTATGGCTTGGTGCTTTAATGAAATTCATTGCATACTTTACAAAGGCTATTTAGAATATGCAAGGACATGCTTACCTGAAGGCTATTAAGCAGTTTAAGTTTTGTCACACTTTGTCCTATAAAAAGCATAATATAAGCTAAATATCTGTGACTGAATGACAAATCGCTGATTGAAATTAAACATAATTTCATTTAGGGCATTATTTGTCAGTGTCGTCACTTATATCCATCCATCCACGAGAGTGCTACAAACAATTTTCAAATTACCAGCAAAGTCAGCAGAAACATGTATCAATCAGTGCAAATTGCGTTCGTCTGTAAAATATTTGCACACAATTAAGTGAAAGGCAGCCCGCCGGGCGGCGGCCGAGTGAGGGCGGATAATTTATGATTTCATTTCAGCGACTCAACTGCCCGTAATTATGCGAACCCACATCCAAAACTGGGCACACATTCGTGCCGGGGCATGTGGCTGATAATCGCGTATACGCCCCGTGTGGTTGGACTGCAGGATTAGAGGGCATGTCATGCCCGCCCTTCCCTGGCGTGCCCTGTCCTGGTAATGATATTTAACGCCACTCCAAAAAGGGGTGAACCCGAAGCCAGGTGAGGTCAAAGTTGAATGTTAAGTATACGCCACGGATATCCGGTTAATTTGAAATGCTTCAACTCTCCGCTTGTCGATTAGAATATTTTCCTGTTTTCATTATGGCGCGTGAATTAATCGAAATTAAATTAAGCCCACGCCCATTATCGGCCGCTTAACGTTTTAATGATTAAACAAAGGCCTGTTTCGAGTACAATAATTACACAACTTGGGCGGCAATGAAATTTAATTAAAATACCACCACCAAGCTGGAAAATCAATATTCAAAACGATAACCATGGTCAGTAAAGTAGCAACACCGGACTCTAATATTTTTACTTCAAACCAAATAAAATTTATTTTTTGTTCTCCTTGAGAAATTCGTTACATACGTTTACAAATCGTTCAGTTTATATGATGATTTAAAAACTTAATTAATGGGATTAGCCAAAGAAATATTAATCGGATTTTTTTCAGAGGCTATGTAAATTGTTATGAGAGTTGATTTCAATTAGTTTTCAAGTGTTTCGCCAGCGATAAATATAATTAGCTAATTGCAGTCAACAGAAAAAAGAAACGGCCAACTATAATAATATTTGCATTCCGAAATTAACAATGCAGTTAATCTTAGTGTAGTATTTTCATTTATGTGTTTCATTTTCGTAATTTCGGTTTCATATTATTTTCATACAGTTGCCGAAACATTTGATAATTGCTTCGGCTTTATCATTCATTTATTGTTACATAATTGTTAACGCTATGCATAAAAATTAGGACTAAATATAGTTTATAGTTTAGTTTATAATTAGCCAGATGGGGAAACCATTTCCGTTGTATAGAAATGGTTATAAATTTCATACCATAACTTATAAAACACAAAATAAATTTTAATCAAGCAATAAGTGATGGTTTCCTCATCTCATCTCTCTCTCGTATATTTTTTTTAAATTTACACAGAAACTATAATTTGATTTTTATATACAAGGTGCGCTTATACTTGGCACCTACTTAATTATCATGATTCAGACAGCGTCACCACCTGATTGCTATTTTGGTGGCTAATTATTGGATGCAGGTCACAATAATTGATATGCAGAATGGATAAATTCGAACTCGAATCCAGGCTGTAGCCGTTGCGGTTGACAATAAGCCATCGTACGACAAAACTGACCACCAACGCCAGAAGGAGAACGACTCGGCTCCAGCTGCTCCGACTGTTGTTATTTGCTTTGCTTTTCTGCATTGCCGCAGGACTCTCGTCTGAGGAGAAAGGAGAAAGCAGGATGAAAATTGATATATATATATAGATACAGGTCAAATGCGATAAAAGAGGGGAAAATATGTATTTATAGGATATTCTGTACGGTTCTGATTTGCAAAATCTCAATAAAAATAATAAAAGGATTTAAATTTCACATAATATATTGAAAAGAATGTACATTATTGTGATGTTTATAAATCTCCTAAAGAAAAGAAAAGAGTGAAATATATTGTTATATTTTATCTTTCTTATATCGAAATCTCATTTTTTTAAGACCACTCACAATCGTATACTTTCTCTGAAAACCAGAACCGTCCTGAACAAAAGGATACAGTAGCAGGATTCACTCACCGTTGATGACGTTGACCACAACACTGGCCGCCTCGGCTGTGGTCGGCATGCACGTATAATTGCCCGTGTCCAGGAGCTGAGCATTGGCGATGCGTAATCTGGAAAACATTGAAACCAGAGCAGATGGAAGCTTAAGGCTATGTGGAGCTTAATTGCATCAATTTGCCATCCGACTCCCCCACTTAACCGAGGCCAATGCCAGCCAGACATTTCGCTTAAATCAGCTGCTCATGAATTCAATTCCGTCGATCAAAGCTCAAAATACCGGACAGTAGAGCAACCGGAAAAACTCGCACCTGCTGGCACTTTTCATTCCGAATCTCTCCTCTTGAATTCTCATTGAATCGACTTAATGCTCAGGAATGCCTCCACCTGAGAGAAAAATTCCTACACTCGAAATACCTATGTACGCTCCAATGCCTAGTAGGGGTCGTGGAACACAGAAACGAATCATTTTTATAGGCACTTCCGTTTTTACGCCCACCTTAAGCTAAAAGCTGGCAGAACTTTAATTTTATGTTCAAAAAAATTATCATAAAAAAACAATAAAATATGGTTTTCGGCTTGTAATTAATTTATAAAATGAGAAGAGTTTCAAAATATTACGTATACGTCCCATATGCTCTCTTAGGAATTTTTAATAACAAGAATTTTATAAAATTTCTGGGAATAATAGGCTTTATAGCATTTTTTCCCCTAAGGAACCTATTAAATTAAAACCATTTAATACTCCTTATTTTAAACCCCTAGCACTCTTAAAAGTCCCCCTTATTTGGATTTAATCTGTCTAAGAGCCCAAGTTCTTACCTGCTTTGCAACTTCTCGGCCAGTGTGGACTCCATGGAGATGCGCTGCAAATCAATGGCCGCATCGTTGGGATGGGCAACAAAGGGAGTCAGTATGTAGGGGCCGCGGTACCAGTAAATTGGCCCAATATCCTGGGTTGTGCTTCCCGGGTGTTTCACGAGACAGGTGAGCGTTATGATGCTGCCCACTTTGACGTACAAATCCGTTGGGCCGGCAATAATCGCCTTGGCATCTGGCGGCGTGACTGCAATTTGGCAAACGACAATGAAACAAGCATGAAATTGATTAATAGCATTTCCAGGTGCATCCCCTAAGCAACCCAATTATGGGGCATGCAACTGCATCTAATCATGCGACTGACTGCCGCAGATTTCAATAGGACTCTATTGATTGGGTTAGGTCTTTGTGGAAAGGGGGTTTGGGTTCCATTCATGGCAATCTCCCTCCCAGAAAACTGACAAACAATTTTCCAGTTTACTCTGTAAGTGTGTACGAATGGGGGTTTGGCTAATTGTATGGGTAACCGGCATTTCTGAAAGGCCACAATGGTTTAAGCCAGAATGCTACTGAATGATAATGAGCTATTTCTTCAATAAGCTTCGTCTTTAAGGAATGTATTTAGGATTTGTCAACCTAAACTTCTAAAACTTGTTAAGCCCCATCAATATTTCATTATTATTATTAATACTTGGATTTTAATTTTAGCCACATTTAAGTATCACCATCCTCTAGTTTATCGATTTTGTATATTGTTTTCATTTTGGGTAACAACAAATTTTATAGTTTCTTGCATAAAAGCGTATTGTTGCCATATTACTTGGGCTTCACTCAGCTTTTTATATCGAAGCAATTACTGCGGGAAACGCTTTCTTCCTCCTTCGTCTTGGTCGTGTGAAAAATCGACTACAAAATTAAATGAACAAAAGCCAAAAAAAAAAAAAAAAAGAACTAACACATAAAAATTTGTTGGGTTTTTGTGATGGCCTTAGCCAGGCCATATCATTGAACCATTGTTTGTCGATGAAGCTGTTGGTTTTGGCTGGTGGTCTCGCATTTTACACACATTTTAAGTGTTGTTAGCCGGTTGTTATTGCGAGGCAGCCGGTGGGCTCTGGCCGTGGCTCTGGCTGTGGCTCTGGCTCTATTTTGGGGTCCCTTTTCGGATACGGACGAGCCATTAAATGTTGTTGTTCACCACTACGTGGGGCTCTTCTAATATTGGCACTGCCTTTTTGGCCGGAATAAGCTCCCCGGCCCGGCAGCTGCCGCAGACAGAGACAAATGTGTGGGGACCATAGCCCCGTTATAGGCACTGAAAATTGGTTTAATGTTTTTTCCGTGCGTCGGCCAAACGTTTTTGGCCAACACACACACACATATCCAGAGAGTAGGGAGAGGGCGAGCCAGGGCAGGCAGTCAACAAAGTCAAATGTTGACGTTGTTAATGATGTGCGGGGTTGAGCCTCCAACCAGGACAACCTACGCCGCCTTACAGGACTCCAATGTAACAGCACCGGAGCATAAAAGCGGATTTTAACGCATCCAAACAATGGAGAAGAGTAGAAGCCCCCCAACAGAGTTTCTGATGGTAAGTCAATAGGGGTTTCAGCCAAAAAAAAAAAAAAAAACAAAAAAAAACATTTCAGTTAGTTAGTTAACTTGGCATTAGTGGAGCCTATTGACACTCTCTTGGACAGTATCTTGAAATGCCATTGACTTGAACAGATTGGAAATTGGAAAAACATCAGGCCAATAAGTTTGTATTCTTTTGAAAGGGGTAGACAGCTTATGAGCTTAAAAGAAAATAATTTAAATTTGGTAAACAGACTTGGCTTAGGGTCAATGAATTTAGGAATACATACATACAACTGGCTTAAAGTATAATATTAAATGTATAATATTTTTTATATACCTTCAAACTCCTTATTAAAGTAAAAATATCTTTAGAATTTTTAAAGAACTAGAAAAGGTAAAATCTTGTGAAGAATTGCATCTCTTTCAACAGTTTTTAAGCCTTTGACTAGCAGATTTCAAAGATTTCAACATTAGCTCTTCATATAAAAACCGTAGTATAAGCTCCAACACCTCCACGCATTTCATATTAATATATTTCCTTAATTCCGGCATAAATCAGTGAAAAATATTTCCTCTAGCTTTTCACGTGATTCGCGTGACGACAGCGTAAATATTTTTATCACGATTTCATCACGATGTTCGGGAGAGCGTTGCTGGCGCTGGGGCTGCAAATCATTAGCATAAATTTCTTAACTTGGCAGCAAACTTCGCCAGCCACTGCCTTTTTTTTTTTGCTACGGAGAACGAGGACCAAGAACGGGGCTGTCGTCTTCCTGTCGCCGTTGAACTTTACTCCCAAAATGTGGGTTAAGGGGACGGGAACGGGTGCAAAAGACGGATTACTACATCCGCAGTGCAGCAACCCGGGTAAGGGGCAGGATGTTATCCACATCCAACCAGGTTGCAAGCATCTGCGGAAGCTGAAACACTGATATGACGTTGGCTTGTGATGAGATTTACACCCTTTGACTTGAGTTTGTTATGAACTGGAAGCCATGTAGTGCAACCAGAATCAGGCCCTTGAGTTTTAGTTTTTATCAAGTTTTTGGGCTAGATTTTGGTTTAAGAGTTTTATTAAAATTTTATTAAATCTTTGTTTAAGCTGAAACATTTTAAGATGAAGAAAGGTTGCCACTAAACTGATTTAAGAAGCATAAATATGGCATTTGGTCTTTTTGTTGATTTTTCTTTATGAAGAGTCACTACTCTTTCGAGTGATTTTATTTTCTACAGTGTAACTACTTACATATACACTTTCGATCATATACTACAATCGAGTACAATCACCAAAAAGAACATTACAGAAATACATTGAACAAGAAACTAGAGAAAACTAAACCAATCACAGCGAAAGTAGAAAACTCCAACCGATTATTTCAATTAACTTTCACATTGGTCAAACCAAACTTTCCAAAACGACGATGTCGAAGGACGAGTAAGAGGACAAGGACACGGTCGTGGAGGAAAGCATAGGACTTGGGGCATCTTCAGGATATGGAAGAAGACTTCCTTGTTCGCTTGGCTGCCTTGGCACGGCGAAAAAAGTTTCAAATCAATTTTACGTACATGAATGAAACATGAACGTGCATGCTTTGTGAAGCAATTTATAACAAAACACACAGCCACAAACAAACACAAACACAAAAACAAACACCGAACATCCCAAACGGAAATCCATTGTAGAAAACTTGCGAAATGGCAGAACAATGAGGCAAGAGGGTGGCGTTGGCCAGAAGGGGGTTCTTCTCAAGGCCAGGGGCTGTGGTGGGGTTCTTAGCTGGAAGTCAAGCCTTTACCACACCCCCCCCCCTACACTCCCTTGGTTCATTCTCTGGTGTGTATTACAACAGCCAGCATATGAATTTAGTATTGAATTTAAATGCAAATTGCGTTTGCATGCAAAACGTGTAGAAAAATAGACAAGCCGTAGGGGTTGTTGCAAAAGGAGAGTGTCGGAAAAGGGGTGTTCGGTGGCCTGGCAGGTGCCAACAGTTGGTATATACTGTTCGTACCGTTATACAGCCTGACCTACACTCAATGTACCAAATTTCCACTTCACCCTCAAAAAGCTTAACCCCCTTAACACTTGCAAAATGCCTGTGAACGGAATATTTTATCAATTTATTTGAAGTTATTTTTAACTGAACGAGTGGCTTTTCAAGCCATGTTTTTTTTTTTTCTTTTCTCTCTGGCAGGCTAACATTTTTTAACAGTTCAAGGATTTTGTATTTTTAGTCCAAGCTTTGAATAATAGGCTAAGCAAATTTTCATTTTCATTTCTCGGGTAAAAGGTGTTGAAATAATAAACAAAGATTGTATTTTGATTTTATTCTGTGAGGATTATAAAAATATTTCAAGTAATTAGATTTAAAATTAGGATATGTACTAAATAAGTACTAGATAAATAATGAATTTAAATACTGTTAGCGATGAGCACGATTTATCAATAAGAGCTGGAAAGGAAAGCCATCGAGATCTGTTCGCCATTAAAACATATTAAGAGCTGGCAATGCTGTAAAACTCTACCTTTCATAAATAATAAAAAAATCTTATATTTATAAACATACTCATATTTCTATTACTCAAATAGAAAATCTGTTTCTCCCCTCACAGTCTGCCTGAAATATCTCACTCTTGGTTAAGAAATCCTCGGATGGCAGTTGGGATAAACCATTATGACGTATGGCCAGTCATGGCCATAAAGGAGGAAGTTTTATCCCCGCCTTCAGTGCCCTCACAGTGCTGCTAGCCAAGAGTCTCAGAAAGTAACAAACTTTACGGCCAATTTACAAAGCCTCCCACCCAGGACTGAGAGGGGTGTATGAAAAGTTGCCATTGCAGTTCGTGCGAATGCCAACAGCAGCACGCTGACAATGCGTATCACTAGGGGAGGATAGTGGGGAAAGGGAAGTATAGGGGTAAGGTGTGTGTGGGAGGAGGATGCCTTACTCACCTATGACATTCAGGCGGAATGCCATCGAAATCTTTGGCTCCGTATTCACTTGGCATTCGTAGATGCCGCTGTCACGTGGCTGGGCATATTTCACATGCAATGTCCAATCCTTGGAGTCGGCGGTGCGCACTACCTGATCGGGTGAAAACGAGAAAGCGACATAGAAAACGAGGTAGAGTCAGAGTCAGAGAGAGAGAGAGAGGTATAAAACAGGATGCCAAGATAAATCTTCCCAGGAGGAGGCGGTTGGGCAGGAGGAGACCCAGCCGAGTCCTTGGCAAATTTAATCAATGCATACAAGTTGCTTGGCCCGAATTGCATACGCAATTAAGCTGACTTTGCTTACAAGCCCGGAGGACATTTAATAAGCAACCTGGATTCAGGGTAAAAAGGATGGGAAATGTGGATATTTTACAAAAAAAAATGAAAATTAAGAAGTAACCCAAGTAGATGATGAGTTTAACCCAGATTACGTATACGCACCCTGAAACGCTCATCGGATGTGTAGGTCAGAATGCCTGCAGTCAAGATGTGCAAATCGCGTTTTCTTATCCAGGACACCTGAAATAGAAAGGAACACCAAATGCTGTTAGTGCTTAAGCCAATTTTAAAAAATTGCCTCTGGTCGTCTGCCAGGACGAATTTTTCGGTAGGATAATTTAATAAACCAAGCAAAGCAAAATGAACTCTTCAACAAAGTACAAGATTTTGGCAAAAAAATACAGTCAGGACTTGAATAGTGGAACTTAACCTTTTAAATTATATTATTTTGTTAAGGCTTAAAGACATTTGTACAATAAATTTTGTATTAAAAATATTATATTTAAAATTTTAAACTATTTAAGCAATTTGTATACAAACTTATATAGTATTGCATTCCCGAATTTTTAACAAAAAGACACAAGGCCTCCACTGAGCCTCAAAGAGCTAAGAATGGAATCCAAAATGGAGACAAGTGCGTGCCCAAAATGTCAGCGGCTTAAAGTTGCCAAAAGCCCCCCCCAAACCTCTCCGGGCGAATTGAATGGAAGCCAGCCTGACGATGTTTCTACAAAACCAGGCGAAAAGTAATCTCCCAGACGGCCGCGGGCAAACAAAACTTTTTTGAGTCCCAAAAGACGACAACCGGCAAAAAAAAAACACGGAAAACTGAAGGGGAAAACGAGGAAAATTTAAACGCACTTAAAAGTGTCAAAGTGGAAAGAGGAAACAGGGTCTCCGTCAGAGGCCAGAAAACGGGAAACCTTGTGGGAAATAGATGGACCAGCAAGGTGCTAGATAGTAAATCAGGATCAGACTATGCTCCCTTCACAGGAGATGAATGATGATTGCAAATGATGGCTATCAGGGATACCTGAAAAAGAAGACTAACTAACTATAATATTTTTTTAAATAAAAAAACTGACAAAAATAACTCTGAGATAGCGTTAGCACATTTTAACGCAAGCCATTTAAAATATAATACAAAAAATAAACCCTATTATAATAAGCAAAAAAATGATTTTTTTTATAAATGTTAAATGCAACTAACTCGACTTTAATACTCGCTCTAAACTTTTTATAAGACGGCTATATAAAGTTGTTGAAAAAATAAAAAAAGGAAAGTAATACTAAAGGAACTGAATAAACACAAAGCAAACTCATAAAGTAAACTTGGTAGTGAAAAGGGAACAGAGAGGGCTCGAATGGCGAATGGCAGGCAGAAAGTTTGTCATTGAACCGGCAAAACAAGGATGGCTAAGATCCGAAAGCTGGCGAAAAGGGAGAAAGTACAAGTGAGTATATATAGAAGTTGGAGGACAAACTGCATGGAAAAAAGTTTACGCTAACTTGATTTTCAGCTTGACTGACGATCCAAATATTTTCGTTTGAAAATGCATTAAAATGAAAATCCGACACAGGAGGCGGGAGTTGGGAGTTGGGTGTTGGGAGATGGGAAAACCATTCATTGATAAGCTGGTAAATGCAATCACTTGACTCGACTCACCGATTTATCGCCCAGATTGTCGACGCGGCAATTGATGGCCGCCGTGTGTCCTGTCCGGGCTGTAATATTCCTGGGCATCCCAAAATCAAAAACCGGCGGCGGATAAGTGGTCTCATCTATGGGGTGCTCTTCGGTCTCTTGGTCATCGTCCAGCGAATTTCCAAACTGGGGCATTTTATTATTGACTGCCGCTATGTAAACGTAATCATTGTCAACTGACGAGGGCGCAGATATCATGGGCAACAAGTGGTTATTGCCTATGTGAGCTGGAAAATATTTGAAATTGAATTAGATTTGTGTTTGTTTCTTTATAGAATTATATTCAATTTAATACAAAATGTTAACTATTTTAGTAGGGTTGTTGGGTCCTCTAAAACCTCCTGAAGTCCCACTCTCATATAAACCCTTTGAGTTGCATAGGATTTGTTGATTGAATTTTCACAGTTACGCTTTTATTTTGGCTTCTGCATGCTGGTTTGTGATAAGTGGCGAATAAGCCATGGTCGAAATGACAGAAAAAACCAACAACAGATTGCCAACCACGCAGGACATCATTTGCAGCTTAGTCCTCGAGTAGAGAGACGGCTAGAAACAAAAACAAACAGGGAGAAAAGTCGTACCACAAAAGAGGAAGGACATATTTGAAGAAGAATCCTGGTCTCACAAGGGAAGCAAATTAATTAAATGCCACTCAAACCCTTCCGAGTTCAAATGAATGAAGTAGTTGGTCTCTCGGATCGAGTAAGTGAGTGAATTATTTCAAAAATTTACGACGACACGATGGCATTTTACGGCTCGTTAGGAAGTAAGCCAACTGTGCAGCAAAAAAACAATAAAACCAAAACAATAAGGAAAATGCTCATATATAGATGATGCATTTGAACAATTTTCTCAGGATTTCATGGCGGAATTGTTTTTTAATTAAAATAAATGAGTGGTTTCTCGTGGCAGTCGGAAAAGGTTGCAAATTGTTTCGTGTAAATGCAGTCCTTGAGGAAAAGAGCCATTACCAGATAGAAAGGGCCATCACAATTTTCGATTTTACAATCCGGATATCCAAACCTCTGAAAACGTGCTCGGTTCAACAAAGTTCAAAGTTCACAGTGACAAGAGCGTTTAAATTATAAATCACTCCACCAACTATGCACCAAAGCACGGAATATTTCTGGCGTACTATCCGGCGTACTGAACACGTACCAACCGCCGTACATTTACAAATGCATTCACACCTCTGATGTCCTGATGTTCTGATGTCCTGGCGAGGTGGATAAAAAAAAATCATGTTGCTGCATTTGAATTTATTTGACATTTTAATGAGCGCATAATGGCAGTGGAAGTAGTCGCCAAACAGCGACGCGACTCGTTTGCTGATAATGGCCAGGTACTATACTATATGTATATACTGCGACAGCTCCTCGTATCCTGCCATGGTCCACCCTGCATCCATCCTACTACCCACATCCATGTCACTGCCTTCAAAAACTCTAACTGGGTCACTCACTTTTGCCGGCTGCACTTGAATCTTTTAGGCCATTGGGGTGGTGGCACTTGTGCATGTTAGACACAAAAATCTGAATTATTTAAGTGCCCACCACCAACACCACCCGCCTTCCATGTGCTCACCTTCCGCACTCTAATGCATATAGTACATCCATATGTGAAAAGCGGACGAAATGGCCACATGGAGATACAAGGAATTACAGTGGAATGACTAGAAAAATATTTTATAAGAATTAAGGCCAATATAAGATATATAGTAAGATAGTTAATATTTCATTTAAATTTAACCCTCTCAAGCCTAGTTGGTTAAATTATGCGCTATTATTATTGGAAATTATTAGTAATTATGGGTAATTATTTTCAATCGCCAGAGTTCTAACAATCATATAAATATTTAAACATTTTGTTTCCCTACTTGTATAGGATGTCCTGTTCCTCAGTCTGTTAAATACTCAAAAAAAGAGAGATTTACCTATTTTTTAATACAAAAAATTCCTATCCCTAAAGCTCACTGTAAAATATAGAATGCGGCAAAAGAACTCACAGCCTTTCTGAAAAAAACATATACTCTAAAAAATATTCGCAAAAAAATAAAACTAGAAACGAAAATGCCAAAGTGAGTGCTGCACTTCTGGCTCTCCTTTTTTCCTGCCCCTGTCTGTGTGCAGACGTGTATCCCGTATCCAGTATCTGCGTATCTGTATCTGTTGTTGTTGCAATACTGGTTTATGCCGCACCAGCAACCAGCACAGATACACTTTCAGTTTTGGCATCATTTAGATGCTCGTGGAGCAACTGATGCAAATTTAATTTGGACACCTCGCAAAAAAAAGCGCCGCATACGAGAGTGAGTGCCAGAAAAGTGCCAGCGGAAAAAAAAGGCAGTGTAAAAAAAAACGAAACGGAGAGGCAACTATCCGGTGGCATAACTTGCTCTTGAGGTTGTGTGAACTGCAACTAATGATGTTGCAGGCACTCGCATGCGGCTTTTTGATTTAACGATCGAGTGTAGTATTTTTTTTGTTGGTTATAGTGGGCTTAATGGCTTGGTTTGGTTGGTTAGCCGATTGCTGCGGTTGATGGCCGTCATTTTCAGTTTTTTTTCATGTTTTTTCCTCTCCTTCGACTTTTGTCATAAACTTCATGCTTTATTTCGCATAAATATCTGTGAAAGCAACAGCACAAAAAAATATTTCACCTTCTGAGTGGCGGCATAAAAAAACGAAACAATCTGCGAGGGCGGCCAAGGCGTTGATTTGGCCCGAAATCGATCCGAAGCAGACAGTAAATCGGCTTTACGTTCGAGGGAGCTAAAATTAATTTTCCCCCCATTTGTCAAATAAATTTTGGATTATATTTTCCGAACCTAACATTAGATCCTAAGCCGATATCAGACGGAATATCATAGTGACTGCTTCGGGAGAGGCTTATTGACGTTAATATCATTGGTATTTAAACAAAAGCAGCTTATTTTCAAATTAATATTTAAGCCCTTTAAACTATGTGATAGAAAATTATCTTTGACTGATTGAGTTAAAATTGACAAATCCAAACAGCTTGGAATTGACATATTTGTAAATAAACTTAAGCTACTTAAATGTGGAAAGCTTAAAACACTTTAAACTCTTCAAGCACATCCTTAGGCTGAGGAGGCTGGGAACTGCAAAAAGGGCTTTTGAAAAATTCAATAAGCAGCCAGTTCTATAAATGTCCTCGAGGATGTCTCTAGTCGTCTACCCTGTCCTGTCGTCAATGGCAGACTGGTGAGTTGCTGAACCGGTGGGTGTATGGGGAATATTTATTAAAATCGTTGTTCACCATTTTTATTTTGCATATCAAAAGGCGTCTTCTTTTGGGTCCTTGCTCAACATTCCTGTGCGGAAGCATGTCCCAGAGGTTTTTTCTTTTCTATACTTTTATTTTGTATTCTTCCTTTTCTTTGGATATATTTGTTTAAGCGGAGTAGCATTTTGCCAGTGGCTAGCAGGACATTCTCAACCATATTTGAGGCTTAGGCCTATTGAAGTTGGTTGTGGCCAAAGCAAACGGGCCCGCGGCTAAGGAATCAGTGCTAAATGGACTCGCCAGAGATGGCCCAAGATTATACGAAGGCCCATTTGTGGTATAAACCAGAAAAAAACACATATGTATGAAGCCGCGCTACTCTGCTTCGTGTTGAAGTTGAAAGTGCAACACCGCCGAAGGCATTTGGCAAATGTCTCGCTTACATGAATTTCAATGTGGCAAGAAGATTAATGGGCCCAGTTCCCGCAGACAACTTGCCTAACGAACGTAGATGATGATATGGCTTGTGGAAAATGGCAAAGTGGAGCTTATGTTATTCTCCAGATAGCCCATGGCTCTTGATTACAAAAAGATACTTTGCTATCTCTAATATGGAAATGTCCTTATTGAATTTTATCTGGTTCTGGCTAAATTTTTATCCGAAACTTGCTTAAAGCAAAAACTCTGCTTGCAAAAACCAATCAAATAGCAACCATAAATTGTATATTTTGTCAACTGCCAACAATTTTTCACAGATCCCCTGAATCGATGTTCTACAATATCCATTCATTTCATCCTCTGCTATTCTAGTTCACTCACTCTGACTCTGACTCTGTCACAAAATTTCATACAAGCAAAGTTTCAATTTAATTTCATTAGCAATGCAAAAAGTAAAAGGACATGGCTCCTAACTAAATCCAAAGTGGAAATTTGATAAAAATCGCAACTAAGACTCTGAGAGCTATTTCTCGGCCCCATTCGAAGGCTTCAAACATTGGCTCACATAAATATTTACGACTATTAGTTTTTACTCTTGGAGATCAAAACTTTTTCGATTTACTTGGACTTGCACAAAATTTGCATATCGATGTGAACAGAAGCAGAAACAGAAACCAGCAATACAGAGATACTAGAAAGAGATATTTTGGAGGAGAATAAAGGAAGGCGAGGCGCCAAAAAAAATAACAATTAAAATAAATTTTACATAAGCCTTGGCACATTGCTATTACTTTGTCCAAATGTTTTCAATATTTTATGCTAAATCTTTGTGAAAACAATTTTGCAACACGAATTGAGTTCAGTTGTGTTGAGGAAAATGCAAATTAAAAGGCTCCCAAACACTTCGAGCATGAAGTTTCGTCTTGAAGTCTTGTAAATCATTTCCTAAACCATTGGGAGTACAGAAAAGATACTTGCTCTCACGGATGCAGATACATACATATGTACAAAAAGGTCTCGAGAACCCAAATATGTCAAGATGTCTGTATGTAGGCCAGTGTATGCGATTCCCCGTCATATTTATTATTTATGTAGCTCAACTAAACGTTTTGCCGCAGGAATTATGGCATAATATGTCAGAAGGCAACCAACCACCACGTCTTAAAAAAACAACAAATTGGCAGGATTCGTTTACGAGATAAACGAAACATGGATACCCTTTTCAGATACCAAGAAAAAAGGGATAAAGTATCTTTAATTACAGGATTATTATCCTTTCTTGACATACTTTTATAAAATATATATTTCTTTCAAAGAAATTGAGATTTTAGTCTTTTAACAATTATTTCCTTTCTGATCCCGAAAAATATTAAATTCCCTCCAATAAGTTAAATTAATGTCTGACTTTTCTTTGCCTAGACCGACTCCTTAAAAGTATCCAATTACAGATGCCGTATTTCAGATTCAAAATCAACATCATCATACCCCCCATCTCAAAAAAAAAGGACGAAAACCAGAAAAAGAATAAATATCAAGACCACTC